TCTCAACATCTGCCCATTCATTTCAAGTTAGGTACAGTACCATATAATATCAGAAATAAAAAAGATAGTGAAGAAAGCCTTAATCAAGGATGATCAGCTTCAAACCATTCAAAGGACAATTATTATAGTATGTTTATAAAAAGCAACAGGAAATTTATGAAATTTAACAACGAAAAAATTGAGCTCAGAAACAGGGTCTTAAAAAAAAATTCTTTACCTAGAACTCTACGGTACAAGTCTGTGCCAGGGGACATGATGACATCTCTCTCTGCCTTAATAGTCACCAAAGCTGACAACTGTCACAAGGAAAAGGATGTAATTGTGGATAATTCTGCAAAAAAATGAGCTTTAAAACTTATTAAAAAATAACCTGCCTTTATACACAATTACTATAACTTGAAGAATTCTAGGTTAACTAAGTAAAGAATATTTAATCAAATTGGTTTCATAATAAATATTATAAGGATAATGTGGGGACATGTATGGAAAAAACTTAATAACTCTGAAGTATTATTATTGTTGAACAATGCATTTGCATTCAGGTACTATATACTGTATTACAAACATGTAATAATTTATATTAGATTGGTTCAGATTTCCTAAGATACTAAAAAAAGTACCATTTTTAGATTATTTTTAGTAAGTCTTGATATTTTATATAAATAATTATACTACTGTGTATTATTATTATAATCAAAAAGAAGCGCTAAGCCACAAGGGCTATACAGCTTATATACTACTGTGTAGTTGGCTTATATTTGTTTCATTCAGATTTGGTAAGAAATACTGTATAGATACAGAAGAAACTGATTTTAGTCATCTATAAGTTGGTAATTTAAATTTTAAATTATTTTTAAATCAAATAGTGATACACAATATCAAAACATTGTATGTACTACTTAAAATTACGCATTCTATCAAACTTGCTAAAATAATTGATATCATTAACCATACTTTTTATTATCCATCCATTTCACACCCACTTTTAATCCAGCAACCACTGCCTGTGTGTTTATGTACTGTCTACAACAAACTCTTGAGTAACAAGCCCCAAAAAATGCAAATTGAGCAACACGAGACTGAAAAACAAATAATAATTTGACTTGCACTGAAAACTCGTAACACATGCACCATTATGGTGCACGTGTTGTGAAATACCTGGTGGCTGCACAATTTTGGATAAGGCTATTGTTTTTAAGGGGTGTCCTAGTGTCACACCCTGTCATCGCACCAACAGTGACTATCTAACACAATGGTTCCAACCTTTTTTGCGTTATACCCCACCTCGATGCCTCAAAAAATTTATGTCCACCCGATACAAAAACAAATTTTTGCGTTGAATCAGACATTTCATCTAAAACTTATTCCTGGGCATTTCATAGAAAAACCATAAAATACCCTCTTTTAAGACTAACGAGCATGCAAAGAGACTACACAATATGGCTGCCCAAAAGTTGCCAATTAGCATTTTTAGACTCAATTTAGCAAAATATAAAATATAATTCTGGAAGTAATAAGAACATAAGAAGAAGAACATAAGAACGAAGGAACACTGCAGAAGGCCTACTGGCCCATGCGAGGCAGGTCCAAGTCTCCTACCGGCTTAAGCCAATGCACCCAACCTAGTCAGGTCAGGTCACATTGACTTAAGGGAGGAACACGGCAACCGACCTGGTAGCACAAGCTATCAGGTCTAACTCACACCCACCCACATCTACTCATGTATTTATCCAACCTATTTTTAAAGCTACACAACGTTCTGGCCTCTATAACGGTACTTGGGAGTTTGTTCCACTCATCCACAACTCTATTACCAAACCAGTACTTTCCTATATCCTTCCTGAATCTGAATTTTTCCAACTTAAAACCATTGCTGCGAGTCCTGTCTAGGCTAGATATTTTCAGCACACTATTTACATCCCCTTTATTTATTCCTGTCTTCCATTTATACACCTCAATCATATCCCCCCTAATTCTACGTCTTTCTAGAGAGTGCAGTTTCAGGGCCCTTAGTCTATCCTCATAGGGAAGGTTTCTGATACATGGGATCAACTTTGTCATCCTCCTTTGTACATTTTCCAGAGAATTTATATCCATTCTGTAATTACGGTGACCAAAACTGTGCAGCATAATCTAAATGAGGCCTAACCAAGGATGTATAGAGTTGAAGAACAACCTGAGGACTCCTATTATTTATGCTTCTTGATATGAAGCCAAGGATTCTATTAGCTTTATTGCGAACACTTATGCACTGTTGTCTTGGTTTCAGATTACTGCTAACCAGAACTCCTAAATCTTTTTCGCAATCCGTAATATTAAGATCTACATTATTTAGTTTATATGTGGCATGGTTATTGTCCTGTCCAACATTTAGAACTTTGCATTTGTCTATATTAAACTGCATCTGCCACTTCTCCGACCACTGCATCAGTCTATTCAAATCTTCCTGGAGTGCTCGAATGTCCTCGTCAGAATGAATTCGACGGCCTATTTTGGTGTCATCGGCAAACTTGCCGATGTCGCTCTTTATGCCCTCATCTATGTCGTTTATGTAGATTGTGAACAGCAGGGGGCCCAACACTGACACCTGTGGAACACCGCTCGTGACGCTTCCCCACTCTGATTTCTCCCCATTTATGCAAACTCTCTGCTGCCTATTTGTCAACCATGCCTCTATCCAGGAAAAAATTTCTCCTCCTATTCCATGTGCTTTAATTTTCCTCAATAGTCTCTGATGTGGGACCCTGTCAAAAGCCTTACTGAAGTCCATATACACAATATCATATTCATTACCATGATCTCCCTCCTCAAATACCTTAGTGAAAAAAGTTAATAAATTCGTAAGGCAGGAACGCCCCTTTGTAAAACCATGCTGAGATTCGTTGATTAATTTATGCTTTTCAAGGTGGCTACAAACTGCCTCGGCAATTATTGATTCCATAAATTTTCCCACTATGGAGGTTAGGCTTATTGGTCTATAGTTCGAAGCTAAGGACCTGTCACCTGTTTTGAAAATAGGTATCACATTTGCCATTTTCCACTTATCTGGCACCATGCCAGTTTGTAGTGATATGTTGAAAAGATTAGCCAAAGGTGTGCTAAGCTCCTCTTTACATTCTAAATGTTGCAAATAAATATAATTAAATATAATTGAATTTTTAAAATATATCTATAAAAATACTTATGTATAAATATCATTTGATTGTAACATTTTCAAATCTCTCCTTCCCCCCCCCCCCCATGGAGCATATGCTTCACACTGGGAATCACTGGTCTAACGTGTGATGTGACTGACCCAGCGTGTATATCATTTTTAATCTTATTACCCCACACTAGTTGGAAATTACTGTATATTATCTGAAAGTTTCATTTTTTCCAAATAAATATTCCCATTTATAAGCCACCCATCTTATGAGCATATACTACACTTTTAAAGCTACTCAAGGGTTTGATGTTTTTTTTTTTTTTTTTTTTTTGTGGCCATAGCACCCTTGTGCCCTCAAGATTACTGTATAAAAAAAATGGATGGTATGTACATGAACCTAAACCTAAATAGATATAAAAGAGAGAAACAGTGGAAGAGATGAAGTGAGAAGTGGAGGTAGAGAGGGGGTAAGGTAAGGCAGGATCATGTGTTCAGCTATAACCTGCCACTTATTTAAGAGCCTAACATCAGAATGGTGTAACACTGCAGCAGGCCTACCATCCCATACTAGGCTTGTCCTCAAACCCAAGCCTTCTAACAAAAATATAATTTATGGTAATGATGTTTTTTCCCGGCTTTAAAAATATGAATTTCATTAGCTATTTTCAAGATCTTGTACACTACACATGCTTGAAGAGAGAGAAAGTATTAAAAAGGTCAGGACTTGGAGATTTATTTTGCTTTAATTGGTCAACCTGTCTGATTATCATCTCTCCAGTGACTGACATAATTTATTTTCTTTAAGAGAGGTTATCATTTTTTTGCCAACTTCAACACTGCATAAAATGTAGGCTTTCATGAGATTTCACTCATTTTAGTCTTATTCAATTCATAAAAAATAGTTTTCTATAAGAAAAATAATTTTTTTCATAATCTTTCCCAATACACACACACAAGTACTTTTCCCAAAGTATGCCACAAGAAATTTAAGAAAAATTATGATATTCACTGTTGTGCAATTTTAGTTGTTGTGGACAATGGTGCCATATTGAACTGAGCCCTGCTTTCCAGTTTCCATGGAAGGAATACACACGAAACCATGTCAGCTACCAGCTTTCTCAGACCTAAGAAAAGGAAGGTGGTGGTATTAGTCGGTGGTAAATAAGTAATGGCAATGCCATATTGAGCCCAGCTTTCAAGCTTTTGTGGAAGAAATACAGTAAACTCTCCATATGGAACAAAGTCCACCTGGTCATTCAATTTGGAAACAATGAACAAAGTCCAGTTGTTACAGAATTATAAATTATTGTTACAATCATAACCCAACAATCTCTACTCTATCCACCACAGCTGCCATTTATAACCACTCGTTCCTTCCCCCAATTAATTTATATGGACGGTTTACCGTACAAACTCAAGTTGGCAATTAGCTTCCTCGTGGCTTTAGTAATGGGAGACCACCTACCATGTTGGTGCAAGTATTATTGTACAGGGCCACACTAACCCACTCCACACAACTCCATGTCAACAAGGATGTTTGAATGCATGTATGTAAGTTATGCATTTGTATATTTGTTATGTATGTTATGCATATTATCTATGTATCTTAGCCACATATGTTATCTACATATGTTATGCAAGCATGCAACAATCGTGAACGAGAGATAAAAGATGCAAAATAACCACAGGGGGAGTTGAATTATTCAATTCCCCGTAGTTATTTTTTTAAGTATGTATGTATGTTCCACCTAAAGGAAAAACATTTCATGTGATGTTTTAAAAAAATTTGGGTTTATGGGGTGTCCTGACAACCTCAAACCTTCACCCCCATGCACCAGGAAAATGAAGTATCAGAAAGAAATTAATCTTTATTGTCTTAGGAAAAGAAAAAAGGTTCAATAATAAAAATACTAACAATAATAATAATAAAAATAAAAATATTAACAACAATAATATATAATAAACATAATTTTCATATTGTAAGGGTGAAAATTTGGTGTCATTGGGCACCTTGAAATAGTCAGTTCCACAAAAAATTTAAATAATATCTAGCCCCCACCCCCTTCCAAAATATAGAACATAGTGAAGAGAAGAGGTGAGAGAAATTCAGAAATTAATTTTGTTCCCCTAAGCATTCACCATCATTCATTCAATAGCTGTCTTTCCAGAAGTGCACAGATATGACAGTTCAAATGATCCTCTGAGCTGTAATATCCATACCCTTCCTTCAGAGTGCAGGCACAGTATTTTTATTTTATATAGTTATACGGTGAATGTGTTTTTCTCTTTGGGTCGCCCTGCACCTGATTTCGAGGGAGACAGTCACCGTGTTAAAAAACATGAATGTATTTGTACATGTATATGTATATATATATATATGTGTGTGCACGTGTATGAATGTGTGTGTATGTATATAAAGTAGTACCTCGAGTTTCAAACAGTTTCCAACTCAAACAATTATGTAAGTTTATTTTTGTAAGTGCTTTTGTAAGTGTATTTTTGGAGGTCTGAAATGGACTAATCTAATTTACATTATTCCTTATGGGAACAAATTCGTTTGGTATTGGCACTCGAACAGCCTTCTGGAATGAATAAGTTCGTAACTCGAGGTACCACTGTATACTATAAAAATTTTTCTTTCATTCTGGGGTCACCCTGCCTCAGTGGGAAACAGCTGACGTGTTAAAAAATATATGTATATAAATATATCCTACATTAATACTGTACTGATAGAAACAAATATAATCTGATGCAGCAGAATATACATAAGCAAGAGAAATGTGCAGCACAGATAATGACTTCTGGAGAACAGAAACAGGGCACATGTAGGTTATTCTCTGACAATGAAGGCATGGTTGTAGGATGCTATCCTTTGTATTAGCTGCATGCCCAGTGTCTCCTCAGCACATCTAAGCATTGAACACTGACAATGAAAATCAAGGAGCTTGTGCCCTCTGGTACATTAAGTAGCCACTTAGGTATGTCATAATGACAGTCCCCTTCAGTTTGCTGAAGGACAATACGTAAGTGGTAATTTGCCCACTGTGCATTATGATAAATTGAGTAGCAGTTGCTTCAAGAAAGCTTAAGTTTTACACATGTACTGTAAATATATTTTTGCAGTTTAATATATGATCCTTTCTCTTGCTACAAATAATGTGAACTAATTTGATGACTAAGTTACATCATTGTGTTTAGTAGATTTTATGTACCAGAAATTACTTTTTAACAGTACAGTGTCATCAGTATAGAAGCATTAACAGTAGTGTCTAAATTCTGTATGTAAATAAAATACCAAACAGGAGAGAACATTGTTTACAATAATTTTGCTACAATGTCTGTAAATCACATTCTCTATGCTTCATAGTGTTTAATTTACCCATTTTTTTTTTCACTTAGTCCTACTGAACAGCTCCTTAATATCAATTACACTTTTTACCCTATTTAGAATGTCATCTATTTCATTAGCACTGTACACATATTATAAAGATATGTTAAGAGCAGGCCTCCTTGACATCCAAACAGACGATGTGATTATTTCTTGAGTATACATTCTACAGCAAGGTTGGCAATGTGGATCCATACCATTCCTATTTTTCAACTTGGCAAACAATTTCCAGCCAATCTTTGTGAAATACCTTCTTAACATCAATGGAAGAAATTTCAATAACAAATATGTACTAGTTTGCCTATAATCATTTGAGTAACAATCAGTAAACCCTCAGTTTAGCAGACTAACAGGGAATAGAGTGGGTGGCCAAGAATGGCAATTATAGTGGATGAGATGAGATTGTATTGCCTTGATTATTACAATAATGAATAATTCAATAATCAACAAACTATCCATTTTTCTGAATAAAATGACCCATCGAATTTTGCCCCATATTTCAAAAGACCATTAACCCCTTGACTGTCGCAACCCCCAATCCTGAGGTGTCTCCTGGTGTCGCAAAATTTAAAAAAAAAAAAAAAATTATTTTTTCTTATGAAATGATAGAGAATCTTTTCCCGATTGTAACGACACCAAAAAAACTAAATTTGACGGAAAACTGACGGAATTATGCTCTCGCGAAGTTAGCGACCTCAGCGATATTTACAAATCGGCAATTTCACCCACTTTGAGCCCTATTTTCGGCTAATTGCATTGTTCCAGTCGACCAAACTCATAGCTATTTCTTTAGAACTCCATTTTTTCTATCGATTGAGTACAAGAAACTGCCCATTTACCGATTTCAACTATCCAATAATGTGGTCAGAAATTTGCAATTTGGCCAATTTCATGAAAATAAAAAAATATGACAATTTCAAAATAAGGTCCAGAATGAACAATGCAGACATTCCTGGCTCTAAATTAACATTTTCTTTGTTCATCAGTCATGTCTCCAGGCCCCTCTGATATTACTCTTGCTTTCTATTTCGAATTTTTATTCAAACAAAAAATAGAAGACTTACTATTATGCAGACTACTGCAATACTGTAATAATTGCATAAATAACATCAACCCATTCATGACTGCATATTAGAATGGCTAGTTGGACATTTATTGGACAATGACATCATTTGTTTACTTTTGAACATTGGCAAAAATCAAACATTTCCCCTACTTTGAGCTCCATTCCAGGTTCTTTTTATAGTAAAATCAATCAAAATCACCTCTATTTCTATAATATGTTTTCCATTCTATCAAATGAGACCAAGAAAACGAGAATACAACCATAAATACTAAACGAAAATAGACCACAAAGTCGGCATTTTAATTAAAAAAAAACGGTCAGTTTTTTTTTCTCATTTGTTTTATATGGTGCACACTGACCACACAGACCCATTCTCTCACATGTGGGCCTACCAGCTTTCTCCTGCTTGATTTGAAGCCGCTATAATTTATGAGTATATATACGTCAAACACGGTACCTCGTAAGACGTATATATACGGCCGTGACAGTCAAAGGGTTAACCCATTCAGGGTCCAGAGGCCAAATTTCCAAGTGTGCACCAGGTCCAAGAATTTTCAAAAAATAATTTTGTTATTTTTTCTTATGAAATGGTAGAGAATCTTTTCCTGAAGGTAATAAAACAAAAAGTACAAAATTTGATGGAAAATTTACAAAATTATGCTCTCGCAAATTTTGATGTGTCAGCAATATTTACGCATCGGCGATTTTGCCAACTTTGACTCCCATTTTAGGCCAATTACATTATTCCAGTCTACCAAATTCTTAGCTATTTCACTAGTATTACTTCTTTTCTATCGACTGAGCACAAGAAATCGCCATGTCAACTGTTTCAACTACAAAAATAAAGTGATTGGAAATTGGTAATTTGGCCAATTTAATGCAAAGTTCAAAATATTCAAATTTCAAAATAGGGTCCAGAATAAACAATGCAGGCATTCCTGGCACTAAACTAACATTTCCTCTGTTCTTTAGTTATGTTTTAAGGCTTTACAAATGAATTCCATTTTGATTTTTTATTCACAATGAATTTTTATTCAAACCAAAAATAGAAGATTTACTGTTATGCAATAGTGTAATAATTGTATAAATAATATCACCACATTTGTGAATGTATATTAGACCCACCAGCTGGCATGTATTAGACGTGTGAGGTTATTTTACTCTTGAACATTGGCAAAAATTTAACATTTCCGCTATTTTGAGCTCAGTTTCAAGCCATTTTCAGTACTAAAACCAATCAAAATCATCTCTATTTCTGTAATATATCTTCTATTCTATCAAATGAGACCAAGAAATCGCAAATACAACTATAAAAAACATGTGAAAAAACACTGCAAAGTTGTTTTAATCGAAAATTACGGTCTCAGTTTTTTTTCTCATTATGCACTGTGTGCTGCAGGATTTGTTTTATGTGGTGCACACAAACCACACAGATGTATTCTCTCACATCTAGGCCCAAATTTACCACTCACAGCTTATCAGTGTGAGCTGAGCTCATGGCATAGATCTACGGTTTGGACTCTCAACGTAAAGCCATAGATCTACGGCATGGACCCTGAAAGGGTTAACATAGTCCTTTAAATCGAGAGCTTACTGTTACCAAGATTTTTAATCTGAATTGATAATTTGTAGCCTGTGAGAAACCTTGAGCTCTATGAGCATCTAATTTCAGTGACTTGATAATGTAGCAATTCTTAAGCACCTGTAGTTTTCAGATTTTGTCGAGACATATTACTAATATAAAAGTAACAATAACCACAAGTAAATATGAACCACTGTATAATGCTTCTGGAGGCAAATCCTAAATACTCAACTGCCTTGTTATTTTTTTATTTTTTTCCAGTGCATTTCTAATATCTATACATATCACACATGTTAAGTCACAAAATATACGGAAAGTATTGAAATCTATGAATAAATTAACTTTCATTACTGATGGAGAAGATTTTTTAACATATCTGATCTTTAACTTCCAGTAGGTAGGATAAAATATTCTATATATTAACATTTCACCTGAGATGGTCTTTATATGAAATTAACCATAAAAATCTAGATATATTACATATCTACTCAGGCTCTTATGTTACACAAATGAAAGACCTTCATAGGGATTTCCCTTAATTAACTGAGTTACACTTATAGCTGATGTAGAGATGAAAGAAAACTTAAGAGAGAAGATCCTTCAAGCTATGGACTTCCTTATACATATAACCAAGAGTAACTGTGATTTACTATATAATCTACTTAGGCCTTGACCATTTTAAGTTCTAACCTTAATTTCCATTATCCCTATTTGGGTTAAATGCAGGGTTATCATCATGCACAATGCTTAGGCTGCATTATATTAACAGGTCACAAAACAATCATCATCTTCCGTCTATATCAGCATGATTTAAGTCTTTGATGATCACAACATTAGACCATCTGCCTTTCTGTCTCAACTTCTTTGCAATTACAGTATTCAGTAGATAAGTTATATTCTATATTTATTTGCAAATACCTTATATCATGGAAGGCAGTATGATTTTCAGTACTTCAAGCTCTTTATAATTGTTAGTAGAAAAGACTACTCTGGGACTTGTAAACCAATCTGTACCTATGTTGTAGTTTCCTGGCACTCCCTTTGCAGCACTTTGGTTATCTGGAGGACTATGCTATCCTGCTTAGTACTGTATGTGCATATTTCACTGTCTTGGTACAGTGGTCATTCATTTAATCCTTGCCTACCTACCATCATGTAATTGTTCATGTCTTTGTTAGTCAGGTCTACCACCTCCAGTCTCTCCTTCCCAGACAGGGACCTGTAACCAGTTTTGAGGGCTTTTCTACTCCTTCAGCTGGCCTAAGCTCAGATTTCCCTGCTGACCTAGCAACCCACAGGCCCACAGCAATCATGACCCAGCTCATGTGGCACTTGAAGCTGTCCAGCTTCTTTTTGAAACTTTTATCTTCAATGAATCACTTTCAACTGCATCTAAAGCAATCATATTTAAGTATGAATAACTACCTGTCAATGACAATTCACCCTCATGGGTTAAGTCATTATGTAACTCACTGTAGCTATATTCTGCTCTTGATTTCCAACCTAGTCATAGTGGACATTCTCTCCCCGTGCAACATTACTGACAGTAGCAGCATTAATTAAAGCTTGCCATTTTTTGTTACAGGGTCCTTAAATCTATACCTCATAGCTCCATTAAGGACCCTGCTAGGCAACAGCATACTTGGAAAATAGTGGAGAGGCTTACTGCAGTGTGCACTACATAAAGACTGGGTGCCTGCCTTAAGTATGGGTCACTTTTGTGTAACAATTATAAATTGATACTGTACGGAAATGATATCCAGTCATTTTTCCATGCACTGTAAATATTTAAACTACATATTTACAGCATTGTCAATAAGTGCTCTTATGACCAGATGAACCAAGGATGGATCTTCTGACGAGTCCTCAGGAGAGTTCTCGGGTACATCTTCAAACTGACTGAGTGGGTCCTCTGATGGGTTCTCATGTGGGCCCTCTGGCAGTTCTTCAGGTAGGTCCTCAAGTCGATCCTCAGATAGGTTCTCAGATGGTTGATCAAGCAAGACCTCAGGTGTGACACTTCGGATTAGTGTCCCATCTTCAGTCTCTGAGAGACTTGAGCAAGATTCCTCTCCTGTATGAATTCTCAAATGTCTTAAGAGTGATGATTTTTCTGTAAAGAGTTTTAGACATTCTGAACACTGATGTGGTTTCTCTCCTGTATGATTCCTGATATGTCGCTCTAGTTTTGCCTTTTGTGAAAAGTCTTCCAAACATTCTGAACACTGATATGGTTTCTCACCTGTATGACATCTCATATGTTTTACTAGTGTTGATTTCAGAGTAAAACCTTTTAGACATACTGAACATGTATATGGTTTCTCTCCAGTATGAGACCTGACATGTGTCACTAGCGTAGATTTCTGAGTGAAGTCTTTAGGGCACATTGGACACTGATATGGTTTCTCTCCTGTGTGAAGTCTCATATGTTTTACTAGACTAGATTTATGAGAAAAGTCTTTTAAGCACTCTGAACACTGATATGGTTTCTCTCCGGTATGCGCTCTCATATGACTTACTAGTGTTGATTTTTCTGAAAAATCTCTTTGACAAACTGAACATCGAAATGGCTTCTCCCTTGTATGAACTCTCATATGCCTCACTAATTTTGAGTGTTTTGCAAAGGCTTTAAAACACAGCTGACACTGATTTCGGACAACTTCTGTTTGAGATTTTGTCAAGTTTTCTATTGTTACTTTTCCTAGATAGTTATTTTGAGGTTTTGAAAACAGGTGTGATGATCTGTCTCCTGTATGCTCAATCATATGTTTTACTAGAGCAGCTGTTTTAGAAAATTTCTTTTTACAAACACAACACTGATGTGGCTTTTCTTCTGTATGCGCTTTCATGAGTCTCACAATCTTTGATTTTTCTTTAAAGACTTGTTGTCCCTCTAACTTTTCGTGGAAGTCTTCTTGACCCTCTGAACACTTAAATGATCCATCTTCTGCATTGAAACTAGAATGATTTTCTAGATTAGAATTTTTAGAGAAATCTTCTTTATCAACTGAACATTTGAATGGCTTCTCTTTTGAGGGAGAACTCTCATTGTATTTCACATTTAAGTCTTCTTGAGCCTCAGACCATTTAAACTGCTTCTCTTCTGTAAGAGAACTCAAATGTTTTTCTAGATTAGATTTTAAGGATAAATATTCTTGATCCTCTGACCACTTAAATGACTTTTCTTCAGTATTATAACTCTCATTATTTTCTGGATTATATTTCATTTCAAAGTCTTCTTGATCCTCTGACCACCCTAAATTCTCTTGAGTGTGAGAACTCGTATGTTTTTCTAGGCTAGATATAGTAGAAAAATCTTTTTGACACACTGAACATTGATATGGTTTCTCTTCTGTTTCAGCACTCATTTTGTACTAATTGACTTTTTTCTTAAAATTTGAGAAAATTTTAAACACTGTTAAACATATGAAATGGTTTCTGTTCTCTATGAATTTTCATGTATTACCATAAATTAGATTTTTCAGAACAGCCTTTGAAACATACTGTACTTCAAAATTGGTTCTAATCTTTATGAGCTCTCATTATACTATAATAGTTTTCATTATTCTACAAGAAATTTAGTCAAACACTGATGTGGTTTTCTGTCCTGTATAAAATCCGTCTTACTGGGATGCTGACACTGCAAGTGAATTTCTTCAGGTGAAAGGTCAAGCTGCAAAAAAAGTGAGAGATTAAAAGGGCTTTAATTAAACTATGAAACATCATTTAGTTATAATATATACCTACTTTAAGATCATTCAGGTAAACTAGGAATACATTAAAGAAAAAAAATGGATGCAAAAATACAAATTACAGTATGAAGGAGATTATTATTCATTGGGTATCAGAGATAATTCCTTCACTGGGTTATATAATGAAACCTCTTGCTAATGTAAGACCCTTTGATAGATCATAACAGAATGACGGGAAACACAACCAGCTGCAGTTAATAGCTAGTGAGTGACAAATAGCACCCATATCTATATAACAAACTGATTATTCATGGGTACATGACAAAGACAGAGCCAGCCAGCCAGCTTTAATTTCCTATTGTGCAAGGATTTCCTTATTACCTTTTACCCCAACTTGCTTCTCTAACTGGATAAGTTGTCTTCTATGTGGCACAGTATCAAATGCCTCCTTACAATCTAGAAATATGCTAAGTGGCATCAGTGCACAGAGAGTTGATGATGTAAAGGGCTCATTTCTTGCAATCGTTGATGAAGGAAGAAAAGTGTAGGCGAGTGAAGGTTTTGGCACAAGTAGGAACACTTCTCATCTAGAAACTCAGGGTTGCACATGCAATATGCTCTTAAGAAAAAACCTATGATGCCTCAAGTCAGTCTTAGTGTCTCGACTGGAAAAGTGTGCAAAAAAATACAAATTTCTGAAGAAAATTTGATTTATTTGACTAGTTTGACTAAAAGGCATAACAAACATTTATGTATGTAAATTTGTATTTTATTCAAAGGCTTTCTGAAGACCTGCAATCTTTGAGGCATTACCTACTTTCTGAATGAGGACATTGGGGAATGATAATTTGTCATTTGCCTCCTTTTTAAGTGTAAAAAGGATCACTAGTTCAACTTCTTTGAGCCTTCTCAGTAGGTCATTTATGTTAAAATGCTTGAGTGCGATTATGAAGATGTCATCCAAGTATCACACCCATGAAACATTGCTTGGGATAATAATGATGAAAAGTGTTCAGTTTTCAGGTGTTCCACATATTGATTCGCTAATACATACAGCAATAATTACAGAATACATGCCCAAGCACATCGACTCTCTGCACTGGCACCTGTTTGAATAAAGTCATCTTTCCCAACAGCTAAGTTCCCCAAAGCACTTGCACAAAGCAACACCAGTCATCATCATAACCAGTACATCTATCAAAGACTTCACCTGTACCAATCAGTCAACACTAAGGTTTGCATTATCCTGTGCAAAGGCTGTAGCAAGGTGTACATCAGAGAAACAGCTAGAAACCTAAACATGTACAACACCAAAACACTACAAGCTACTTGATAAAATGGAATGATGCCCTCTTAATGATTAAGGAGTCAGAAACCTGCAAATGAAAATGCTTAGAGGTGGCAAGTATCTCCATTTCATCTAATATTACACAAAGCTAAGGATACTCTATCATCTCTGAAATACTAGCACAAATCTTTCATAAAATATTAGTACATTATTATTACATTCATGGGAGTGATAAACCCATAGGGGTCATACAATGCCTGAGTGAATAGAAGGCTCTATACAAGGAACTGGAGTGCAGGTCCAATTCCTTTGAAAAAGAGCCCCTCACCAGCATCAAGGAACCTCTATCAGGAGCCATAAAGCGATAGACTCTGCCATCACCTGACAACAAATCACCTTTACTACTACAGTACTTCTTTCTATTCTACTCCGACTCTGAGTGTGCATCACTGCCTTACCTCCCTTTGCTCCTTCCCTATATCTACTCTCTGTACTCTTGACAGACATCCTGACGAGTAAAACAAAGCCAAAACAAATGTCTCATTAGTTGTGCTCATTCACCCAATATATTAATTTAGCCATTGCTGTCTGCTTCCTCTGCTACCCAATTATTGACATACAGTGCTGCTGTATTATTATTATTATTATTATATTTTTTCCCAAAGGGTCTTGTGTTATTAGATATCCCAGAAAGGGTTACTATAAGTGGTTGCCTAAATATTTATGGTACTGTACAGTACTAGCTTCTGATACTACAAATGAAATATTTTTGCTACTTACATTAGCATTACAGGACTGTGTTGGCACTGTAAGTGTAATTCTTCTGGTAACAGGACAAACTGCAACAGAAAAAATGGAGGTTAACATACCCTGAATTTAAGTACAGTAATGTGAAATCTCTGGCTGCACCAACAACCTTACAACTTCAGGTCTTTGAAGCTTCTTCAATGCTACACACACATTATCAGGCAAGTAACCTATGCATAAGTTAAGTAACCCACTCTTCCCATAGTAAAAATCTCATAAAAAAAATGGGAGATTCAGTGAAGTTCTTGGAGATGTACGCCCCATGGCAGAGCTGTCAGTAACTAAAAAGAATAAAAATAATTCTGTGACAAAAAATTCACAAATAGCAATTTTTAAGAAAATTTGTAAGGTTATCCAGAAACATTATTAAGCCACCAATATACAGTATATGTATATGAAACAGGCTAGTTCCTTTTCAACAGGGACAAAGAACACAAAAAGTTCACCTTGTTAATACAAAAAAGTATTCATTTCTGTCAAGAGACAATAACCACCTATGAGCTGTTCCTGAACAAAAACTACAGTACATAGTTCTGAAGACTTAACTGACTGTCGGATAGAAAAGGTCCCACACACAACATTCCATGTACAAATCCTTGTCCTAAACTGACATTGTAACTGCTGTCAAGTGCTCTAAGCATCAGAACACTTGGTGTCAACTCTTCTAACCTGCAAAACACTGGTTGTCAGGTGTTTAAAGCATCAGAGTATGTATTTGTTTTATGTATACAAGTATATGTATGAAGGTATGCAGGTCTACCAGTACTTCTATTCACTACCACTTCTTCCAACTACCAGCATTACCTATACTACTACTTCTCCACTCCTTTCTTCCTCTCTTTGTTTTGTCCCTGTCCATGGTCCAAGTCGGACTGAAATGTCACCATAAGCTTCTCTCTCCTATGTGCGGTTTGTGATGTATGTGTAGGTGTACGCATATGTATGCATGTGGTTGCAGGGGTCGGGTCATAGCTCCTGGCCCTGTACTCACCTAGTTGTGGTTGCGGGGGTCGAGTCACAGCTCCTGGCCCCGCCTCTTCATCTGGCCGCTACCCAGTCACTTTTTCCACTCCACGAGCTTTATCATGCCTTTTCTTAAAGTGTGTGTGTGTATGTATGAAAGTGTGCATGTATGTATGCATGCATGTGTATAAATGTGTATGCATGCATGTGTATAAATGTGTATGTATGCATGTGTATAAATGTGTATGTATGCATGTGTATAAATGTGTATGTATGCATGTGTATAAATGTGTATGTATGCATGTGTGTGTGTGTATATGTATATGTACTTCATAACCTGTGTAGTTTTAAGTAGTCTGTAAGCATTAGGATTAGTCTGCCAAAAGGTTCAGACATGCTAGTGGCTTTTTTGTACTTAACACTATTTAGTAATATGTAAATCACACACTGCAAACTCTGCAAAGAAATAAAAATTTGAATTTGTATGCATGTGTAATATATACATACAATATATGTATGTATGTGTATGTATGTATATGTATGCTTGCATACTAATAATGAAAGTTTGTGTTCAGACTTAAAAAAAGACTAGTGTTAAGAGCCCCAACGAATTAATCCTTTCATTTCCAAAACGTAAGCAATCTAACCATATCCCAGCCATAATGGTTAATTCCTGAGAATATTTTTTAGAGGAGATTTGCAGTAGAATTATTTTTAGTGAAAATAAATCAGTGTGACCTGCCGTTCCAGTCAAGTTCCTATAATACCAGCACCTTAGTAATGTCTCCTGAGTGTATACTGGGGTGGGTTGGGGGCAAAAGTTTAATAAGGGTCTTTTTAAATTTTTTTTTTATCTAGACAAAAAAAAATCCCTCCAATCTCGAGTTTCCAATTCAAGAGTGAAATTATCCCCATTGCAGATACCAATCATTATTACATAATTTCCATTATAAAATTTTGCGAAACTCAATGGAGCCCCCAAACTCAATATTTACCTTACAAATAATGTATTTAGACAATATAAGTCTCATAGTAATTATTAATGTTGCGCGCGTCGCCACCCAGCCCAACCCGGCCATCATGGATCACTTGTCTTACTAATGGAATGTCTAGTTTTTACTTGAAATATTAAATACTATTGTATCCGTAAGCTTAAAATTTACCCTTTCCTCCGCCTCAGATGACCATTGATTAAGAAAATATACAGATAAAGCAGGAGAGGCGAGTAAAGAATTAAAAGTAAATAAAGGTCATTAAAGTTCAAAATGGCCAGAGAAACACTAGCATATTTCCCCGTTTAGGGCGTCAATGGGAGCTTTGCCAGGTGGGGAAATGATATACCTGCACTCCTACTTACCTCGCATATACAAATTTACACGACAATAGGTTAAGAAGGCTAATATATTGAGGGAATTTGGGGCTAGATGTGTGAGTTTGAGGCAGCTTGAGGGAGCTGGACAGCGGTGGATGCTAGTATGACGCACTATATGGTCGCTTACAACACCCTCACCACTCACGTTCTCTTTCATATTACAACACTAAATTATACATTCCCTTCTTTAATCTACTTTTGAGTAAGGTAACGCTGAAGGGGTACCTTTTATTGGTTGCAAGAATTTAGTCTTTCTCCAAGATTTAATGCGACATTTAATGGTCAGTCGGGCAGAAACGTCGTCGTAAGTTTGTCTCCTATATGTGGGTTATTTGTGAGTAATTTTGAGACTAATGTGTTATCTGGAGAGACCTGGAGAGAGTTTCGGGGGTCAACGCCCCCGCGGCCCGGTCTGTGACCAGGCCTACCTACATTGAATTCAGCCCATATGTTAGACATGTTCTGTCTATTGCTCAGTCTTGGAGCTCTACAGATGTTACTGTGTCCGATCACAGTGTCGTTACGTAATTTTAGTCTGGATATTTGGGTGTCACTTTTGTGTGAGCGCCTACCATATTTCCGTAATTATGTTAGTTTTATATCTTTATTATGCACCACATACCCATCCCGTGTGCGGTAGTCAAAATAAATTAGAGGTACATAATGTGTCCAGGGACTGGGCCGCAAAGTTAGTGGTAATGAACAGTTTACAGTTACAGTCGTAATGAGTTATTTATGCAGACATAAATTAGGTCACAAAAAAAAATACAAAAACATTATCCTACATTTTAGCAGTAATTATGGAAATAAGTGGCTGCTGGGTGGTTGACCTGAGAGGACCAAAGGGCCCCTCTGGGTCGCTCAGCAAGACTGGGCATAAGGGAGGGATCGGGGTGCGTCATCACCGGGGGTGTAAATACCTCAGGAACGATTACGCCGGAGTAATGTTTTTCTCTTTACCTTGGGTCATCCTGATACTTGATGGGGTTCTTAACTTAGCCATCAGAGGTATATATCCCTGAACGGAGTGAAGAAGTTCTTCAAAACATGCTGAAATTGAGGAACGTGAAAACCGGGAGGAAAAAATTTTGAGATCTCATTCTTAATGAAAACCCACGATGTAACATAATCCACAAATTTTTAAAAAAAAGTGCAGCGGGTCAAGGATAAAAATCCCAAAATTTTTAGGTAATAAGGTCGATCGGGAAAGCTTTTGATAAATCTAAAAAAATTCATGTCGTCCGGCGGGGTTAATGGTTGTCGGGTTTTTTATTCTGGATGTGCACTTGTTCTCTAAAGATGACGTTGAGGCATGCCTTCACCATGTAAACCGCACTCGACGTTAGGGCATGGTCCACATGGGGCAAAAAAGGCAGGGGTTTGCATTAAATCAAAGGACAGGGGGCAAAAAAAGGCCAGGAGAAGAGGAACCTCACTTTTTTCAAAAGGGAATTATTTAGGCATTACGTTTTTATGGGACATAATTATTATTATTATTGTGTGTGTGGTGTGTGTGCTTTTGTTAGGGCCCGAACAGGGGTTTACCGGGAGGAGTTCCGGGGGTCAACGCCCCCGCGGCCCGGGCTGTGACCAGGGCCTCAGATAAAAGCAAGGGGGAAACCTTTTTTAAGAAATATTTGCACTTTTTGAACACTGATAGTAAATATTTTTTTTTTAATTTGAAAGTAGCCTAGGCTCATTTTTTTGTAAATTTTCTGTTTTAAATAAACAAGTACCAAACAAACTTTGATAAAAGAAAAATTGTAAAAATAATTTATGCTGGTATCGTTTATTAAACAAAATTATCTGCAAAGACTGAACTTAGAAAAATTATTTAAAACACATAAGTACAATCACCAAATATGTAAATTACCCAGGGTAACCCCCAAAATGCCAGTTCTTTTTTTTATTGGGGGCCTTTTAATCTTATTTTAAACCCTTTAAAAATTAAAACATCTAAGTAATTCAACGTTTTAAAATCAGTTACATTAAAATGAGATGACAGGACCAGATTACACAAACAGGGACACACATTTTAGCTATACAAGAAATCACTTTCCCCTTTTTGTAGCTTCATTATTAATACCTTTTAGCTAAATCCTGAACCAGCTTATGCTAGACAGTCTTTTACATGTGCAGGGGATCCCTTCCCTCCTTTTTCTCTGTAAAATAAAAAAAGTTTGAAGCCCGACCCCTATTGTACTATACAAAATTATTTCACTTCCGAATACCCTACTATTTTGTTTCCCAACCTTAAAACTTGACAGCAACTTATTCTGGACACAACTTGTGAGCAATTGTATATACATGATTTAACTAGTGGGGGGATAATTTGACTTAGTTTTCACTTTTATTTGAGTGGTTACAATTAAATATAAATCACACCAATTAATGTGAACTGATTTTACAAGGTCCTAAAGGGACAATGATATAACTGGTTCTCACTCGACTATATCCTTCCAGAACAGCCTTTGGTCTGCACATACTCTCATAACGCCATTGTCTTGCATTTAATAAAACTCCTCTGATCTATGGCCACAAAATAGAGCGAAACACCAACGTCAAAGACCTGGGAGTGATCATGTCGGAGGATCTCACCTTCAAGGACCATAACATTGTATCAATCGCATCTGCTAGAAAAATGACAGGATGGATAATGAGAACCTTCAAAACTAGGGAGGCCAAGCCCATGATGACACTCTTCAGGTCACTTGTTCTATCTAGGCTGGAATATTGCTGCACACTAACAGCACCTTTCAAGGCAGGTGAAATTGCCGACCTAGAAAATGTACAGAGAACTTTCACGGCGCGCATAACGGAGATAAAACACCTCAATTATTGGGAGCGCTTGAGGTTCCTAAACCTGTATTCCCTGGAACGCAGGAGGGAGAGATACATGATTATATACACCTGGAAAATCCTAGAGGGACTAGTACCGAACTTGCACACGAAAATCACTCATTACGAAAGCAAAAGACTTGGCAGACGATGCACCATCCCCCAATGAAAAGCAGGGGTGTCACTAGCACGTTAAGAGACCATACAATAAGTGTCAGGGGCCCGAGACTGTTCAACTGCCTCCCAGCACACATAAGGGGGATTACCAACAGACCCCTGGCAGTCTTCAAGCTGGCACTGGACAAGCACCTAAAGTTCCGGATCAGCCGGGCTGTGGCTCGTATGTTGGTTTGCGTGCAGCCAGCAGCAACAGCCTGGTTGATCAGGCTCTGATCCACCAGGAGGCCTGGTCTCAGACCGGGCCGCGGGGGCGTTGACCCCCGGAACTCTCTCCAGGTAAACTCCAGGTATGGATTACAAGGTTGCTCAAGAAAACTAAAACTAATCGAAAGACCTTTTGTTTTAATTTCAATGGTGCTCAGTAGTTTCTTGGATAATAGTCCTATTACTACATAATAAATCATGTCTACCAATAGTACTAAAATTATAGTAGGTTGGTAGACAGCAACCACCCAGGGAGGTACTACCGTCCTGCCAAGTGAGTGTAAAACGAAAGCCTGTGATTGTTTTACATGATGGTAGGATTGCTGATGTCTTTTGTCTGTCTCATAAATATGCAAGATTACAGGCATGTCTTGCTACTTCTACTTACACTTAGGTCACACTACACATACATGTACACATTTATTTATACACACTCCTCTGAGTTTTCTTTGATTTTATCTTAATAGTTCTTGGTCTTATTAATTTTCCTTTTATATCCATGGGGAAGTGGAATAAGAATCTTTCCTCCGTAAGCCATGCGTGTTGTAAAAGTCAACTAAAATGCCGGGAACAATGGGCTAGTAACCCCTTTTCCTGTAAAGATTACTAAAAATAATAATAAGAGGAAAATTGTCAAAGTGGGAAGTCTGAATGTGCGTGGATGTTGTGCAGATGATAAGAAAGAGATGATTGTGGATGTTATGAATGAGAAGAAGCTGGATGTCCTGGCTTTAAGTGAAACAAAGCTGAAGGGGTGGGAGAGTTTCAGTGGAGAGGAATAAATGGGATTAGGTTAGGGGTTTCAAATAGAGTTAGAGCTAAAGAAGGAGTAGCAATAATGTTGAGGGATAAGCTATGGCAGGAAAAGAGGGACTATAAATGTATTAATTCAAGGATTATGTGGAGTAAAATAAAGATTGGATGTGAAAAGTGGGTTATAAAAAGCGTGTATGCACCTGGAGAAGATAGAAGTGTAGAGGAGAGAGAGAGATTTGGGGAAATGTTGAGTGAATGCGTGGGGAGTTTTAAATCAAGTGTGAGAGTAATGGTGGTTGGGGATTTCAATGCTAAAGTGGGTAAAAATGTTATGGAGGGAGTCCCTGGACCCATTATGTACCTCTGTAATCTTTTGACTACCGCCCACAGGATGGGTATGGGGTGCATAATAAACATATTAAACTAAGGGAGTAGTAGGTAAATTTGGGGTGCCAGGGGTAAATGTAAATGGGGAGCCTTTAATTGAGCTATGTGTAGAAAGAAATTTGGTAATAAGTAATACATATTTTATGAAAAAGAGGATAAATAAATATACAAGGTATGATGTAGCACGTAATGAAAGTAGTTTATTAGATTATGTATTGGTGGATAAAAGGTTGATGGGTAGGCTCCAGGATGTACATGTTTATAGAGGGGCAACTGATATATCGGATCATTATTTAGTTGTAGCTACAGTTAGAGTAAGAGGTAGATGGGAAAAGAGGAAGGTGGCAACAACAAGTAAGAGGGAGGTGAAAGTGTATAAACTAAGGGAGGAGGAAGTTCGGGTGAGATATAAGCGACTATTGGCAGAAAGGTGGGCTAGTGCAAAGATGAGTAGTGGGGGGTTGAAGAGGGTTGGAATAGTTTAAAAATGCAGTATTAGAATGTGGGGCAGAAGTTTGTGGTTATAGGAGGGTGGGGGCAGGAGGAAAGAGGAGTGATTGGTGGAATGATGAAGTAAAGGGTGTGATAAAAGAGAAAAAGGTAGCGTATGAGAGGTTTTTACAAAGCAGAAGTGTTATAAGAAGAGCAGAGTATATGGAGAGTAAAAGAAAGGTAAAGAGAGTGGTGAGAGAGTGCAAAAGGAGAGCAGATGATAGAGTGGGAGAGGCAATGTCAAGAAATTTTAATGAAAATAAGAAAAAATTTTGAGTGAGTTA